AGTCGCAAAATTGCTGTACAGGTATTTTTTGCTGTCATGCCTTATGTGATTTTCAAGATCTTTTTCTTCAGAGTGATGCTCCAGAGTATTTATTCTTTTCAATCGCTGCCGTAGCTACACGACAAATCATAAATCCCAAAAATTAATCAGTGATGATTAGCATCAGGGGGCTGATAAGTTTCTCTTGCTTATAAGGTCAGTTGTCATATAATGAGGATAGTATTAATATAGAATAGCGCGGAATTTATATGTTAAGGTCGTTGTTAATATTTATTCTTAAATGGAGCGTTGCTTCGTATATTATGTAACAATATCACCCTAAGTTTGGGTAAAGGGAAGGATTTGCTAAATGGATTGAAAGTCGGCAGGACTCTCCGGCTACGTGAACCTGGAAATGGTACGGGAAAGTTCCGGTAGGTCAAGTGTTTGTGTTGTTTGTCACTCCTGAATAATATCTGTTGGTGAGTACATCCGCATAAATAACTCAAATTTCCTGAATCCGTTGGGCCAGATAAAGATTGGCGTTACATCAATAATTCACTAGGAGTACACTATCGAATGAACTGCAAACAGTTACTTTCCAAAATGTTTAAAGATACCAGGAAACTGGGAAAAGAAGTGTAGGCTACAAGCGTCGGCCTGATCTGCACCAACGACTTAGTAAACCCAGCACTGGTGTGGTAAACGGATATGGAACGTGATCAAGATCTCCTTGGCCAGCAATAATCCGAGAACGCTGTCGACAAACACATTTGCCGACTCTATATCAAGGAAACCGAGAAGAGCAACGCTGACGTCATTGGAACTAGCGAGGTCCAAAGATCTACCGAAGTTGTTGCACAGTGAAACAATGGCGATCAAGTATTCCTCAGAAAGGGCTTCAGGAATCAAGCTTGGACCGGAGACATTAAAAGGAAGACTATATCATTTATACTGAGCTGCGACATAATTTTATTATTTCACAGACGAGGGAGAGCTAAAGATGAAGTTGGCTAGGAACTCAATTGGAATTGGAAGGTGCAGTGGGGAAGAAGGCTACACATACGATTGCCCAATGAGACCTTAATGCGATCATGAGCAAATAATGAATGACATGAGATAGTCATCTGGAAAGACATAAGAGGCAAAACATGAACTTGGAGTTCGCTTAGCAATTTTGGCCGAAGGGAACCACCTTGATATGATGAACCGTTTTCTGGAAAGTTCCAATGCGACATAGCACGTGAAAAAGCCAAACGGACTATTTACTGATGGACAACACTAGACGGTTCCTTAATAGACAAGAACATCATCTGTACGGGGGGCAGAGTATAGGCTTGTGCTTTCTACAGTTGCCATTTCTGTCGCAAAAAAAGAGAGTGGATCTAACGAGCGTAGAAAGCACCGATGTGGGTAGGATTACGATTCGATACAGAGACTTTTACGGAAAAGTTGCCATTAATGAACCTGGCATCGAATATGAGCATGTGCATAAATGTTGATCATGACCATTTGGTGAGTGCCATTAAGACTGCCCTTAGAGCATCAAGTCGCACAGCAAAGTCGACGAAAAACCTACGCTTCAGCGTTTCAATATGGCTGCTAAGCAGAACCGTCCACTGAAATCTGTAGAGTAAAGAGACAAAGTGTGCGCTGCATTTGTAATGAAACATGGAATAAGTTGAGACGGGGGGAGGGGGGCACTACGAAGGTTACGAGGAAATGCAACTATGAGAGGCCACTGGTGGGAAGAAAAACCTGAATGCTGCAGAACGGATATTTGCCTAAAAGAGGAGGTTTCAAGTACGCTGATAGATGAAGTAGGAACAACGACAATTTACCTCAGTTGGATGAATGTGATCTGCACAGCCATCTCGCATCAGTGTCCATCGAGGAGTCCGCGAGGAGTCCGCGAGGAGTCACTATCTGACGAATGCTCTACTGTGAGTCCTTGAAATCACTACTCAACCGGCTAAACTTGGGTGGCCGCAACTTTGTCGACTGAGAGCAGCTAACGCACTTCTGGTATGCATCGCATTTCTTATAAAAAACGCGATAGAGCTTCAGCACAAGAGCCGGCAATTACGAGAAGAGTCTCTCACCGTCAGTTTGAAGGTTAGCCTCTCCAAGACGAAACAGCTGCATTGAGGTCCCTGTCTAAGTGAGTGACGAATAACTTGAAGAAGTCGCCAGCTCTGTACACCTCAACTGTCAGATGAACGGAATGAATTCGCTAAGCGGATAAATCAACCGAAGAAGGAAGGCGCCGTGACCCGGCTTCAATCGTATTTGACCATCGTTACTCGACAGTAAGCTGCCCATGCGAGGGAAGAAGGAACTGTCTGATTCAACCATTATCTCGGCTATAATCTACGGTGCTGAATGTTGGTCTAATAATGGCTACGGTAAGAAGCGATGGTCACACAAAGAGCGATGGAACCAGAGATGGAAAAGTCTTCATTCGGGATCACCTAACATGCGCAAATATTTATTAGGAGGCGTGATTTATGGGGCTAAGAGAAGATGAGCCAGACATGAGGGTCGTCTGAGGCACAAGCGGTTGAAATCAAGATTTACAAACTGGATTCTCGCTGAACCAAGAACGTGTACTTGATTATGCCAGGACACGCTTGGATGACCCAATGAATAGGTTAAGCCAAGGGTGGAGGCAGAAGATCCTTTTCGAACAAGTTATCATGAATATGCTGAGAAGTGAATCGTGGAAAATGAGTCAATTGAACATATGTGCTTCAAGCTTGAAAGTTTTCTAGGGATGATTACAATTTTCTAGGACCGACAGAAGAAGGTTGGGAGAACAATGATATAGGCCATAAACAGGACTGTTAGTGAATGGGATGAGTAGTACTCTGCAGTCTTTCTTTGATACCTTGGAGAAGGCGCTGGGCCAAGATAAGATGACAGGGACAGAGGAAGAAGTTTTAGAACAGGTAAAGAACGAATAATCGAATGGGAGAAAATTACGTTATTTTTAGTCATAGTAAATAATAAAAAATAATCAAACGCCATTCGTACTTTCGTGAAAGTACTAGTTACATGATTAATTCTATTCAAGCCGCTGTTCACACAAATTTCAAGGGAGTTCTACGAGAGATGCCTCATCACACAACAAGCACAATCAACATTGCGTGGCATTGGAAATTTCCTCTCACCGTTTTTAGCTTCCTCCTCTTGCTACACAGCATGTCTCACCTAAATTGCAAAAACGACCTGTTGTTGGAGACGGGTAAATGGATGCAGCCTGAGTTCCGTATAGCATATCTGCACAAGGTAATGCTTCCACCATCCCAGAAATGCTACGATAAAGAAATAATCAGTCACATAACGAATTTAAATAATAGCTTTCAATGGAAAGTGGAAAGCTGGTGCCACAATATTCATGTTCGTAATCGATCACTCATTTTTCGAGTTCACGAACGATTCTACGTACCGGCACCTCACGGCGTGCTAACCAAGCGCCGATTAATTTGTTTGTTGCTGTTCATGTGCTGGATGGAAGTGTCGTTTTTGACAGTCGATACTTTGCCTCGCCTCTAACGCTCTCTTTTGCTTTCAGCTGTACGAACTCAGCGACGAGGCGAAGCGGAAGGAGTTCCTGGACGACCTGTTCAGTTTCATGCAGAAGCGAGGTAGGCGTTAAATGTTGATGTACCGTACGGAAACCGCGATCTAACTACGGGCAGGGGGGCAATGCGCGCAGGGTTGTCCAAAGGGAGGTTGTCTGTGTATGCGGCGGCGAGCTCGGCTCGCATTCAGTTGCTATTGACCCTGGCCATTACGGCTCGGCCACTGAGCAGCCATTTCGTTTATTGACACTTGAGCGGCGACGGTCAGCCGTGCGCCGCCTCCCATTGGCTGCGCCGTGAGGTAGATACGTTTTTTGCTTACTTTACTTAGCGTTTTTGTTTGCCTGCCGACGTTGTCTCAATGTCGAGCAGCCGGGCGTCATCGGTGACAACTGTTTGTTAAATACTTCAGTTGTTCAGATGTGGCGCGCATGGCCAACTCGACGAGGGCACCGCATAGTGTGCGTGACGTGTAGAGTGAATAGAGTGAATAGAGAGAGCGCCACCACCACGAAACCGTTCCGCCGTCTGTAACGTTACAGTTCAGCGCTGGAGCCGAGAGACGTCGACAGGTTCAACGGACGGTTAGTTTAATAAGTGACGGTTTAAAGTGACGTACGTCTACCGGGAACCAGTGGTCACCGTCCACGTGATGCATTTTTCATTGGCCGAAAGCAGTGCTTTGTGCGCTCTCCTTGCGTCAGAGAAGTCATGAAGCTACGTGGCTGTGAGAGGGTACTTGTTCCCACATCTGAATCGCTATTGAATCGTGATTCATGACTGATCAGGGTAGTCAGTCGGCTGAGTGACAGACTCATACTGGAAAAGACGTGTGTTCGAGTCCATTTGGGGTCACCAGGTTTTCACCCTTTTAAGGTAACTACGTGAATAGCTCAACATTGGAAGCAAACCGCTCGGGTATCTATGTGCAGATATAAGCATACTGAACAGAAAAGCAAAATTGCACCGGTAGAGGTTATAGCGCTTGTACGCTCCAGTAAGGTTCAAGGAGAAAATCCTAACGGTTACCAGCGTTCGTTTTTCTCTGATGTTTGCTCTATCATCTGAGGAAATGTCGAGAAGATCGGTCACCTTGCTTTTAGCGAGTTCTTGAAAATGGTTTTCAGAATTTTCCTCATACGCTGTATGAATGAGTTTGCATTCAAGCATTCAAATCTTTCTTTGCCTACGGTTTTGCGGTTCACAATGTGTGTTTACCGTCGTAGTAGTTAGAAGTGGTACAGATATAAACCTGTTTCATGCATATGAATCGACGTGGTTTTTTTTCCTTCCATAACCGCTTCTCCTTTCGGGTCATGGAGGCAGAAAGGAATCGATGTTCTTTCACTCCTTATACAAGGAAGATAGGTTAAACCCTCGGATGTACAATAAAACATGAAAACATAAAAACAAAATATAGTTTACCAATTAAACGAACAAGAATCTAAAATGCTTTCGACAATTTGGAAGCAAGTGCAAAATAAATTCTTTCTTCCTCACAGGTCACAGCTAAAGTGGATCTGCGTGATTCTCGATTTGGAGAAAATAAATATAATCGATGCGAATTCACGTTCAACAGACTTTACGGCAACGCTCACTGATCGACATAGCCATGATTACACTAAATCTGTTTTCGAGTGTGATAGCTATTCTGTTGAAACTACGGGAGAAGCTGTAGACAGAGCCTAACTTGGTTATCGGCAAGTTGCCTTAATATTCATGAGGAGCCGCAGGGCCCGTAGATTGAACATGTCTACCGAATAAAACCTGAAACTGAAGATAAAGGTCTAGTGAACTCATTTGCGAATTGCATGTCAGTAGGGATTGATCAGGTATTCAGTCAATCCTCTAACAGCATAATCCAAGTGAGGACAGTTGAACAACCAAATCTGCGTCGCCCTCATAATATTGCGGTTAAAGCAAGACTTCCACAGAACTGGTTATTGGCGATCAGACACCTTCAGAGTTAAAAGGAGGGCATATTTGACTTCACTTTCAAACAGGTCGTAGAATTCGTGTCTCAACCCGAATCTAGCGATGTAGCAGTATGAGCAATGAAAGTCACAAAATCACGGGTTCAGTCTATCAGTCAAGAAACAACCCATTGCGGCAGACCCTCCGCCGTGAGCTGGCCAAAACCAAGTGCCGCTACAGCAGCCAAGTTTCGACGGAAACTTTATGACTATTCAAAAAATACATCCTCCTAAGTTGACAGGAAATTTTTATAATGTCCTTGTCCGGTCTCTGCAGATTATGGTGACATCTTTGAAACAGACATTGGGAAGCAAGAGTTTCGTAGCAACCACGGCAAAAGCAGCGATTAATTCTTTATAAGGTAGCAAAGTTACTACTATTGACGATGAATTGGGACCTCATATTTTAAGGACCTTGAATAGCGTTGGTATTCTCTTAGTTATTCCAACAGCTTGAGTGAGTAGCAATATGTAACTGATTCGTGCATTCTTGAATGACTGAGGAGAGCCACTGTTCTGAGGCGCTCTTTGTTCCTAAAACCACGTGATTGGTGGCCTAGCAACAGATTTAGAATCAAACAGCTTGAGTGCATCAGTAGCTGATATTGTCGCATTTTGAAGTCCGGCTTGAAAACTTGCCTGTTAGGGGAAGAATTAGACACCTGGACCAGGACTATGGACAAATTTTCAAAAGCTCCTGTTTCATGAACCAAAGGGAAAGCTGTTTTGAAAAAGAAGGATTTAAAAACTGTTCCAATTTTAAATTCAATGTACAAATTAATTTTTCAGACATTAATATGCTAATTTTATAGTCACTGACAATCGATTATAATGAAGTTGTGTTCGTCATTCACTGTGTGACATATAAACTTTGATATGAGGTTACCAAGCGGCTAACCGAATTAGGCGGACGATGAACTCGTCTCGATCTCTAATCAGAGACTCATGCTGGTCTCCGCCCTTTGCTCCTACTTCCACCACGATATCGATTGCGAAAAGAGTTTTCAATTCCAATTTTCGCCTTGTTAACTGGCCTGATTGCTAAAGACATGATCACTGATTGCTTCGCCTTCTGTTTGAGTAACCTGATGATGCTTTAAGCAGGGAGGTAGAAGCACAATTTGAGGAAAACCTTCCTTCCCTTAGTGAAGTTAAAAAGGGGTTCTGTAGGCAGTAAGAAGTTAAAAGGCAGTATATGATTCGCAAGTACTTGAAACTTCCCATAAAGCCGTAAAGTTCTGTTCGCTAAAATTGAGAGTTCCTTGAATAATAGGGACGTTCAAAATTCGAATTAAATGCATAATGACTGGTTACTATTCAGAAGTACACGAGTAAGATATGAACCGATTAGCCGGATGTATGACAGGCATAATTGGCTCGTATATAGCACAGGAGCAGCTATAAAGCATCCTATAAAACTTTTAGCGTGTGACAGTTGATAATTTTCTGCCATCACTCAAATTCATATTCAGCATACCTTCGTCGATCCGTTTTACCATGCATTTTGGTTATTAAGACTGTTAAAATTCAGCTATAAAAGTGCAGCACTTTCATAGCAGTGTCATTTCAAGGAAAGGACAACAATCTGCAGTCATTGATGCGTCAGTGGGTGTCATTCAGTACTCTTACGACGGTACCAGTCACGGTAATCATGCTTGGATGCTTTGAAGCTCTATAGCTACAGAAGAGTGACCACTACTACGTATAATCAGCTGCTCCTTTCTCAGGATGTGGTACCCATTTACATACCTTGAAAGGATGGAAGAGATGAATACATCAGGAATCGACCCCTCGGTCTCTCGATTGAAAGCCCGGCGCTGTGCTGACTAAGTCACCCCAGCGGTTAATCGACATTGCACCTTCATACCATCAGACTGCCAGAGCTGACCGGACCGGCTACAGTCTATGTCGTTGAGAATTCTCAGCGCACCGTTTAGGTGCTGATGCAGGTGTTCACTAAATCGACCGCGGGTATTTGATTCATAACAACCTCGAGTTCTCACAGCTGCTTTACCGGATGTCTTGTACTTATTTTAAGCAGGTTCCACACTTTAGTGCGATTCCTCAATCGACTCGTTCCAACTCGTTTCTATAAACCACGAACGGTTTTATTTTAACAGCTGACAGCGGTTACGCATAAAACATCCTTAGTTCAAAGATATGTTTGAGAAACGCTCAAGTACTTCACTCTGAAATTTAGCGTTGTAAAATATGGTACTTGGACAATTTGTTTCGTCCTCGTCAGCACTAATCTTTTGTACCTTTCAATCCAATCTGCATTTTCTCGTCATTACGTTTTATATTAGTTGCAAAAGGTGTAGAAACTCGCTCTGGGGTAGTCCGGCAGTCGATTATGATATCTGTCCATGACCGAAAGCTTCCAGATTGTTTCACTCCTCGTACTTTGAATCTGCTTGACAAATCTGGAGGGAACATTGACTGCAGTTCGCAAGTATTGACGCCTGGCAGTACGAATGCACTGACACCTGACCAAGCACCACTCCTCAAAATTCGCTCAACAAAGTAAGAGAATTGAGGAGCGCCGATTTGCGTTTGTGCTGTGCCCAGAATTCTGGACGAGTTAGATGAGGAATCGGTTTCAAAACATCAACTCCCTTTGGCTTATACGACCGTAATTGAGCCGAAATGTCCCCCCATCGTTTCTATGCCGCATTTTGTTTTGATTCAGCTTTGAACGAGACTTCTCGCTTTCTTTGACGACGATTCGTCAGAAAGTCTATTGATCAGAAATGGAAGATTTATCGACAGCAGCACTGACCAATTCCCAATTCCATGGTGAAGAGAGACGACGGGTGGCGTTTTTTGCTTATTTGTTTAATTTAACAAAATACCATTGATCACAGATGCCGTATTAAGCAGTGAAATAATTCTTTGGAATTTGTGCTATCAAACTTCGCCCGTCGCCTACTCGTCTCTTGATTATATGTTCAATTTAGCTTGGTAGTGCGCGACGCGTTGTAGCTGCTA